ATTAACAAATTATCTGCAAATTTGACATTCTCCCCAAGTGTGCATGGGCTTTCTAGCTTCCCCAAACCTTGCTAGCCATTTGATTAATCTTGTCTACCCGAGAGGTAATATTGTGCATCTTTTCCTGGTTATTGACCATTTGCATTCTTCTTCTGTGACGAGCCTATTCATGTATGTTTCTCATTTTTCTATTAGATTGTTTATCTAATATCTTTATTTCCTAATACAAGCTCTTTAATGGATGTTAAAATTTTGTTGTATATGTTGTAAATATTTTCTCTAGTTTGTCATTTATCGTTCAACCTATTTTTTACAGAAGAACTATGTTTCTATGTTATACATATTTTTTCTTCTTGGTTTCTGGCTTCCACAGTATATTTAGCTTATTCTTATTTACCCCAAACTTTAAAAAATTTATTTGACAATGTTTACTTGTAGTGATCTATGCTTCTGTTCCACATTTGAATTACAGAAATGCTTAGCTTCATATTAAATATGAAGTTTGAGAGAAAATTTACTGTGTTCAAGTTAGAAACTTAAAGTATAAATTTAACCTGAACTTACTGTGCCCTTGCTTGAATGGGGGAAAAAGATCATTCTTTAAAAAACCCATATTTGCAACATGTGTTGACACCATACAGATTAAAAATAATTTAAAAATTGAAACATCTGTAAGGAGATTCAGACATGAAAATGAGAAGGTTTCTGTATTTTTTTTAACATCTTCCTCCTTGTTTGAGGGCTATACTTATATACATAGAGCTTAGGCAACTGTCACTCCTGTGAATTCAGTTGCTGCTATGTTAAGAACCCTATTGTGGGAAACAATTTGAAAGGGAGAGCTTTTTCTGTGAAAGCTTCAAGATGTGTTCAGTGATTTGAAATATTTCCAGTAAGATATGTTGGAGGAGGCAGACTGTGAAAATTAGGGGAAAAAGTCAACCAAAAACTTCGAATAGGGCTTTATATATACTCAATTAGAGCCTTTTGCTGAAGTTAAAGGCCTTGATTATTTTGTTTATTTTACTCTTCATTAAAGTGCACCTCTGCTTCAAACTAGAAGTTAAGTGCCAAATTCTATGCATGTCTCTTCTCAAAGTGTTTCTAGAAGGATGAGAAACGTGAAGTATTGAGAATCCTGTGAGAAACTCTGTCTTTGGATTTTAAGTTCAATTTGAATAGATATAGGTGCAGAGTTTCATAAATTGTTGTTCCATGGAACACTAATCCTAAAGGATGCATCATAATAAAATTATTTATTTAATTTAGCATTCCCCAAAACTTGACAGTAGAACTCAACAATGGAATGCCTAATAAAAATACACTGAATGCACTCTAGAAAACAGTACACTGGAGTTTGGAATCAATATCCAGGTTTTGGATTATGCATTTAAACCTAAACTAAACTTGCTGCTGAAGGCCATCATAGAGAAAATATGACTACTTTGCCAATTGAATTTAGGACAGTGGAGTTGTCATGTTGTCCTTCAGATCAACCTTTGTATATAGAAGTCTCCGTGCCTAGGTGAGCTGGCCTCTCCCAGCTGACCCGGATAGGGAAAAGCAAGAGAAACAATAAAAGGCCTCAGCACAAAATGGGATATGATCAATATATTGAGTAAGAAAATTAAATTTAATGGCAGAGGAGTTAAGGCAGAGTGATATTTAAGAAAATCTCAGTTCAGATTTTTTTAAAAAATGGCTTGGCAAAGAAATTTTGTTTTTATATGTGGAAAAGATGGATAGGTTAAAATATTGTGAAAGACAAGCTCCCAAAAATAACCAGACGGAGAGCAGCAAATACTAAAGAGATGTTAAGTCGATGCCTTGATTCTTGGCAAAATATAAGCGGGTGGAAGTAGATAGAGATTATGTTATACTAAATCAGAGAGATGAGACACTAAAGCTAGTTTTCATAGCACTGGGTTGTCATGGGCAGATTTCTAGTCTAAGTTAGAAGACATGGCTTTTTATTTTGGTTATGACACAGTATGTACACAATTTTACACAAGATATTTAGACTCTTACCTATTAACTGGGGCTTATAACATCTACTCACTCTGTATCACTATATTACTTTAAGAATCAAAGGAGATAAGGGTTTTAAAATGCTACACAACTAAAATGGTGTATTATAACAATGTGATTAGTAAGTGGAGATGGTATATGAATATTTTCTGGCAGAAGAGTTTTGGATTCAAGCCAGTTTGGATATAGTGAGGACGGGCTGACTTCCCAAGTAGACAATAACTAATGGATGAGAAGTATCAAAGAAAAGAGGATAGGATTTTTGGAAGCCAGATATGAAGAGAAGATGGAAGGGAGTGATGAGTGGTATCAAAAAGGTATCAGTTTTGCCTGAAGAAGTCTGAAAAGTTGTCATTAATATAAAGGGTATCTCTAGTAAATAAAGTTAATAGAGAATTACTGGAGTACAAAAGTTATTAAAGAGAATCCAAGTGAAGAAATAAGATGAGAAAATGACTAGAAGAGATAATTAACTGCTAAGACCTGCCATTTGGGAAACAGTGTGACATGTTTCCAATTTGCTTACAGTTTTTAATGCATATTTATTTTTAATGAAATATTTCATTCCCAATCCAGTGAGCTGTCTGATGCACAGCAGGCTTCTTACTCCCCTGAGCAGTTCCTTCTTTATTTTACATGAATATCTATTTTAACATGACAGGCTATGTTGATATCGTTTGATAACTGGTAGTCATGGTGCATTAGGGTTGTTTGGTGAATTATGAAAATTAACATTCTTTCCAACATGCTAAGTGTATACTCCTTTTACTTGGGAAATGCAGACCTTTTCTTCCACAAGCCAGTGTTGAGAATTTTTTCCTTTGGTACCAGGACTTCTTTGATCAACTTTCCATTCTCATCTCTTTCCAAAATATCCTGAAAATCAAAACAAAACAGACAAAAAGCTCCTTTATTGACATCTCAGATAGTAGCCATCTTTTAGTATATGTCTTCTTGAACAAAGAATGCATCAAAAGTAGAAAGTGTCAAAACACGTATGCAAAAAAAAAAAAAAAAAGTGTTATGTCTGAAATAGAAGTTTCTTATAGCTGCTTTTTTTCATTTGAGGTTTTTTTCTTTCATTTTTGTCATTTCATTTCTCTCTAAAAATGAATCCTTAGAGTAAGAATAGTGTCATTTTATATTTTACATAGTGCTGAGAGCACTGTTGGCACGTAGCAACTAATAAATATGAATTACAACTATAGCATGATATTTTTCAAGCCAGGATGTTACCTACTAATTAGGAAAACTGAAAGGCCAGTGCTCATCTTATTTCAGGAACAAAATGGTAATTCAGAATTTTTATCCAGTATTTTATGACTGTACATCCAAATGTTGGCTCTTTACATTAAATTCTAAGGTTTCTTGGTAGTATACTATATAACTCTTGTGAATTTAAAAGAAAAATTTCCCATAAGTTAACTGACTCTATTTTATGGGCATTTAACATCTGATCATTACCCTAGGAAGAGAAACAAAAATTATTAAAAAGTAAACTGAGCAAGAGCTAAAGCATCCGTTGTGGTTAATTCTCAGATCTGAAGGCCAAAAATTAATGGGCACAGAGACAACCTCCTCTGACATCCATAGCAAGTACACTAATCACTTAAAGCAGTGGGTGGGTAAACTTTTTAACCAATAAAAAGGCTTTTGGTTTTATTTTGTTTAGCTTTGTTTGTTTTTTAACTACTAACTTTTCCAGCAGCAAGTTATTGACACAGAAGAAAACACTATAAGACAATGAATCATGCCTACTCCTTTAGAGGTACTCTCATCTTACTCTGACTTCCTTGCCTGAATTTTTCATTTCCAAAATACTCTTTAAAAAATATAAATAACTGTCACATTTTCCCCAAATCACTATACATTTTATGATTTAAGTATTAAGTTTAAAACATTCCCTAGTGTCCCCTTTTTGAAAACTTACAGGAATGATTCGGTGCTATATTTCTCCAAGGTAAATTAAGTGCCCAGTCTGGTATGTTACATTTGAATAACACCTTGTAAACTAAGGACTGGTTGAACCTTCTGAAAATGGAACTGAGAAAACTGAATAAGGCTTTTCTCTGAGGGATACTAGTATATTATACACTCTATAAAATGTAAATGCTTTTTATTCCCAGTCAGTTGCTAGGATCCAAGAGTGCTTCTGCATTCTCTATCATTTTTAATGTGTAATAAGCAAAGGGAGTATCCTGTGAAGAGCTCTGAGAGGAGGACGGCTCTCAGTTGAAGACTGCATCACTCTGAGCAAAGCTTCCCAAGTCCTTTTGTAAGACCATGCCACCAGCCTAACACGGTCTTCCTTTTCGGAACCAAGTATTCAGTGATTTGCAACTTGCAGTGCCTTTAGGCCTTATCCTAAAGCTTAGATTGAGAGATAAAGTAAGCTAGTGGTTATGATACAGGACCAGATATCAAAAATCCCAAGAAATATAATTCACTGTGACTTTAGATAGCTTACTTTCTGGTCCTGTGATTTCTGCATCAATTTGCTCTTCCTTGACATCACGAAACTATTGTGAAATTTATTCACTGTGAATGTTTTGAAAATCCCAAATGAATGAAGCAAAGTAAATATTTATGTTTTGTTCATACATTTTTCTGAACTGTTGTTTCTATTTCTTATTGTACCCATTTCTTTAATGAAAATTATACTATAATTTCTGCAGACAGGGTCCAAGTCAGCCACCCTGGATATAAGATACACCCCAGGAAATAAACGTTACTCTAACAATAAGTGATCTAATAATTCTTCATTTCACATGCTGTATATATAAATATATATATATATATATATAATATTTATATTTACATATATATATTTTTTGAGTTCTCACTTAAAATGTATTTCCATGATGAAATACCTGACTAAAGTTTCTCACTTTAAATAAACTCAGGAACTAATTGAATCACAGGTTTTTTTTATAGCATTTTTAAAACTAAATTTTATCTTCACTTCCTTGTAGTTTATTAGAACATAAAATCTTTGAAATGGAGGGAAAGCACAAGGAAGAATTGGACACCTTAAAGGAAGAGAAAGAGAATCTTCAAGGCTTGGTTACTCGTCAAACATATATAATCCAGGAACTGGAGAAACAATTGAACAGAGCAACCACCAATAACAGTGTCCTTCAGAAGCAGCAGCTGGAGCTGATGGACACAGTGCATAACCTTGTCAACCTCTGCACTAAGGAAGGTGGTAAGAATTTCTTTCTTACTTTGGTATAGTAAATATCTTATTTAATTATGGAGCAAGCAAATATTCAATATAACTTTCTTAGTTGCATCAATTGCTGTGTAGAAGCAGCAAAAGAACTTTATTCTTAGAAGCATTTCATGAAGTTACACTGACAATTTTCTCATGTTTTTAACTTCAGAGAGAGTATTCATAAGCTTGAATATTGACTCTACAACATCTTTCTAAAAGGACTTTCTAATTTCTTCTTTTTTTTTACTGGTCTTTTAGCCTTAGATAGAATCTACTATATTTTCATGGATAAATATTTGGTATCATGATGTTAGACACTTAACTATACAGGACAGAGATTGGCCAATATTAAAAGATTAGTTCAGAGTGCTGAGGAGAGTTTCAGGAGAGTTCCCATTTTACACCTTTTCTTTTTGCAGAGGAGGACAGGGAAGAGTTGCCTGCAGAGAAAAGGAGATATAGAAGTTCTTAATAACTATTATGAGGAAGAAAGAATATTTGTTACTAAAAGTCTGTATTAAGATTATTTACACAGTCCTGTGTGGAGAAGACCTAACCGGGCATATGGGCAGATTTATTCTGGGGTGTCTTCATGACCATGGAAATACAAATTTTTAATATCACTAGAATATCTGGAGCCATTTAATCATTGGAAATATTGCAGGCCTGTGTCTCTTTAGAAGACATACATTCATCTGTCCATCCATCCACCCACCAATTATTGACTAAATGCCTCTGTGTGCACTTGTCCACTTCAAGCAGAACCTCACCTGAGCCTCAGGAGAGCTCTTCAAAGTTTGGAGCTTAAGGTCATCTTCTGTAGTTCTGCTCACTAATCAGCCTTTCTGTTAGTGAACACAGAATGGTAAATGGTGATGAGTGAAAGAGAACACCACTTACATCTGAAAATTATGGTTGTCATTAAGTTGTGGCTTATGTGATCATTCATGTAATGGTTCAGTGTGCATATGCAATATACATAATTGGTGGCTCCTTTAATTTAATAGTGGACTTGAGCTATCTGAAAAAATACTCAGTTCCATACTCTCGTGAATAGATATGAATATAGAGGATAACTCCATATTAAGTGATCTTGCTTTAAAGACATTTCACATTTCTCTATTACACTCCATTACCTTGAGTTATATCTCCTTTAGATAATCTAAACAAGCCCTTAATATACTTTGTAAAGAATATTTTTTAAACAGTGAGTTCCCAGAGCTCCATTTGGGTGTGCTCAGAAATGTGATTGGGAAAGAAAAAACCTGCTAATCAGTCAGAGCCTGACAAAACTTTGAGTTAGAGTCTACTGAAAGGAAAGCATGGTAGAATTTTGCCAGAGAATTTTAATAGAGCTCATGAGTATTTAGAAATTAAGTATTAATATGAGACATATCTATTCTCATATTGAACTGAATACATTTGGGGAAAGATTGAAAACATATTTTTCTTATCATCCTGAGACTCCTGAGACGTAATGCACATGGAGTTGAGTAATTCTTTTTTTTTATGATGTTAGAAATATCAAGCCCTGTTGATTCTCACAGAGCTCATATGTCTGCCTGCTTATCATAATTTCACTTCTTTTCTAAGTATTGTCCAATAAATATGTCTTTAAGCTTTTGGAGGCAGGAGGGTGACTTCAAAATTAAAATTCCTGGCTAGTTTTGGTCTTTGGGTGCAGTGTCAGGCAACCAAACATCTGTTCAATTCAAAAAACATATTTTATTGAACAATTATTATGGCACTCCTGATAGATGCTACCCATAGCATCCACTCAGGGTATGAGAAAAGTAACTGTGTCTATGATATAGCATATCCAAAAAATAATACTACTACTACAGAGTGAGACAGAAATTGTCTAATACTTCAGACCTCTGGACATTTATTTTCCTTTTAATGATAAAATTCTAATATAAATCCTGCTTTAACTATAGGATTTGTAATCTTAATGTAAGCCTATTGCCCTATTATCCAATGGATTCTATGCTCTTATAATCATAGATTTTGTTTGCTTCTTAATAATCTTTTTTTTCTTTAATCCCACAGTTAAGTATTCTACTAAGTATTTGGTCATTTAAGAACTCATAAGAGACACAAAAATGGGAAATGTCTCTCACTAAGTTTTCCATAAAGATTTTACTTCTTTGCATATCTTCATTTTCACTGGCACCATAGTCTTCGGTTATGGTGAATTTAAAACTTAAATGACTAATTTCATAATACTAAATATCAGTTACTAAAATGAACTTTTATTTCATTTGAATTCTAAAACACATAAGTAAAATCTCTCCCTACTTAAGACCAAAAGTTTATTTATCAAGTAGATTTATTATTTATCAAAGATTATATATAAATGTTCTACTTTTAAATATAAATATATGCAGATAAGCCTAAATCAATATATCACAGTAAATGTATCACTTTTCTAAAATGTATATTTCCAAAATGCAAAGAGTAGTCTTCTGAAAGATTTTCCAAAAACATTATGAACTGTGTCATAATCCAAAAGACTAAAAATTTTAATTGACCTTAAGGGTCCTCTCTTTCTAACTTGACTCAGTCAGTCATTTATGGAGACAGCCTGAATGTAATACTACAAAGCAAGAGAAAAATTTCTATTGAGGTTTTTCTGTCATTGGCAACTAATGTAATCTTTATGAAGCTGTCTCATCATTTATAAAAAGTCAGGATACTCATATCTGCTTCACAATGATAGTGAGAGGATTAAATTAGATACTGCATATAAAAACAAAAGAATGTGACACAGTTGATTCATTAAACATTAATTCCTTCCTTTTCCTCCAAGTGACAAGATTAAACTAAACACAAGAAAACTTATGATGTGCTATCTATAAGTAAAATTTCTTTCAAAGAAAATGTCTGAATACAAGGCTGTAGAGTTTCTGACTGTTGACAGTCATCTAAGCCCCTTCTTTTTAGCTTCAGTTTTCTAATCTCTAAAATGGAATCATAATACATACCTGATGAGTTTGCAGTAAGAATTAAAAGAGGTTTGTATAAAACATGTAGTATTTTTGTTTAGTTTCACAGGACTTTTCCTACTAAAACATCTAATGTCATGAGATATATTTAAATACAATTAATAAACACATTTTCTGAACTAGTTCAACAAACCTTCCTCTTGTTGTTCTGAACAGGCAATAGTGGTACCTTAGGCAAATAAATAGTCATTACAAACTGAATTGCATCTATTTTTGTAAGACTTCTGGGTAGCACATTTATTTTTGCCTAACCTTTGTCTGCAAAAACTTGGTTGCAGTTATTCTTAGAAACATTAACACTAAAGAAATATTGCTCTCAATGTTATCATTGTGTCAAAGCTTAGCTGATTGCTTCATGTTTTTGGCAGTTCACAGTTATTGTGGGAATTAAATAGTTTACATTGATAATGGCATGGAAACAAGGTTTGGAATTCTTTGGGGGAGGATAATCAGGTACTGTGACTGTCAACATTCAGCAGTCATCTCTGTTCAGAGATAATTAAAGCATCATCACGTACCTTGAGCATACACCAGACAAACTTTGCATTATGTGATCAAGAATTTAATTACTAACAAACCTTAAAAAAAGAAAGGTAAAGAAAAAGAAAATAGTATTTAGGCTCCATCATAAAATTACATTGGCTGATTGTCTTACTGTCCAAATCAACTTGGAACATACTCCTGCTATACCAAGATATGATTCATAAATTTATCATTCATTTAAAAAATAGTTATACAGCAACTGTTTTGTTTCAGATTCTCTTCTGGGGTAAGGGTATCCATCCATTTTTATTTAACAAAGATTTGCTGAGTTCCTATAATATGCCAGATACTGTTCAGACAATGAGAAGAGAGAAAAGACGTACTGTCTGTGGCTTCAAGAAAACTGGAATTTGGTGGGGAAAGAGATAGGTAAACAAACTTATATTCTGTAATTGTTTGCTAGTGGTGAGGCCAGGGTGCCAGGGGACTAGTGAAACACACAGGAGGAATATTAAAATCATGATAGAGACAGAAGGATGAGGGCAGAATCCCGCATCTGCAGAGTCTTCTTAAGGCTTTTGTTGAATGCTTATTATGATGCAGGCATGGCTTAAGCTTTATGTGTATTAACTTAGTTAGTCCTCACAATAACAGTTTGAGGGAACTACTGTGGTTAGCCCCATTTTATAAATTCCACAGGCAGCTTGAGTATTTTCCTAAGGTTACATAGCTAGAAAGGTATTAGAACGCAGTATTAGAACGCAGGCAGGATGGCTCTAATGGGGAGACAGTGGCTAAGTCTTCAAAATGAAGAAAACGGAGGATACTCTAGAGAGCATAAACATGCATATTTGCCAGGAGTCATGAGAATGGGTGTGAGGGGTGTACACCTAAATGCATAACCTAATTCTCAGAATCAAAGGCAGGAGAGCAGTGAAAGGCGAGGTTAGAGAGATCCACAGAGGGAGATCAAAGAAGCTGAATTTTTTCCTTGAAAGCAGTGAGGAGTCGTTGTCAGTATATAAGGACAATGGTGACCTTATCATTTTAGAAAAATCACCCCAGTCACAGCGTAGGAACAATGCATCAGAAAGTTGACAAGCTTGGAAACAGAGGGACCAGGTAGATATTTTGCCATTATTAAAATATTAACAAATACTTAGATAGTATGAGCCAATCTTCTTAGCCCCTTGCATATCATTTAATCATGATAACAACTCTATGAGCTAAGTGCTATTATTAACCTTATATGACAGATAATGAAATTAAGCACGGGAAGGTAAATAACTCCCAAATATTACAGTAGTAGCAAGTGAACAAGCTGAGATTTGAACCCATAGAGTCTGGTTCTTGAGTCTGTACATTATCCACCGTACTATGATGGGGAGAAAAGGTAGACTGAAGGTGGTTTTCATCAGATTCTCAAAAGGATCTTCTGGGAGAGAAATAATGAGGTCAGGATCAAACAAGGGCAAATGGAAAGGCAAGTGAAGGGAAAATTCG